AAAGAGAAATTGCTTGCTCCAGAAGAAGATGAACGACCTTGTGTATGTGATGTATAACTCGAGGTTGATGCGGAGATCATGTAAAAAGGTGGAGGATATATTTGCAGAGATTGATTCTGATGATGAATGGATAGTTGAAGAGGGAGCAGAGAATGAACATGAGGGTCAAGTGTTGGTTGAAGAACATGTTGATATTACTGAATTACCTGTGGAAGATGGTAGCAATGGTCCGAATATGGTTAGTGTCGAAGATAATTCAAGTGCTCATGGGAGCAAAACTAATGATATTGATATCATTGGGCAAGCAATTCAACAAGGATTTTATGATGATGATAATGATGGTGTGGAGGATAGTTGCAATTTCAAGGATGGCAATGATGACGAGGATGAAGACTTGGATATTAATATTGATCCAAATGACCTTATGTGATCTGTACTATTAATTTTCAAGTCCTAAGTTAACTACTATTACTAGAACTTTAGAAGTCTAGATGCAAGTTAGTCGGTTTGTATTTGTATTGAATTAGAATATTAATCTTGAGAATTATCATATTAAGTGGTTATGTGTCTTTGTGTTATTAATTATTTATCTTATTGATATTATTAAGTGCTTGTTTCTATATGGAACTTAAAATCCTACGATTTTACGATTCGATTTTACGATTCCGATTTTACCTTGGTTTTCGATTTTAGGTAGAATCCCGATTTTAACTGCTTTGCTTAGAAGAAACAAAAGAAACAAATTTCGAGTCTTAAACTCATAACCATAAAGTCTTAATAACTTAAGGTGTTCTTTGATGCTTACTTTGACGCCTGGCTCGACATCCCTCAGCGACGATGGTGTTGAACACCTCTAGCCTGCTAGTCACAGACTGGCTGATCGCGATCTCCTCCTCTACGATCTGGTGAGTGAGTTGGGGTCAGTCTACGCCCTACTTAAACTGGAAACGCCTAAGGTTATTCTCTAGAAGCTCACAACAAACTTGTAGAAATGATTTCTACTCTCGCGTTTTAAACTTTAACTCGTGTAAAATGTATTATTGCGTCCTTTATCTTACTTTGGGACCCCTACCTCGTCTTAGCTGGCGCCACTACTAGCCTTACTTACTTACTTACTTACTTAAACATAGCTACCCTCACATTGGGGTGCCCCTCACATGGGTTTGACCACCACGGAACGAATCACAATCCAGTGTCAAACTACGGCGTGACTACCGCGGAACATATCACCATCCGGTAGCACACCTAAATCTAAGCAATGGAGACCGCGGAAATCATCACCGTCGGGCTCCACGCTTGACCAACTACCGCAGAACGTATTGTTGTAGGCGTGGATCTTCGCATCCGAGATTATCGTAACAAGATGTGCTTACGAACAGAAATAGGGAGAGATTAGAAGAAATTTTTGGGAGAAAAAGAGCAAGAACGGGCCGGCAGCCGATTGAGGGAGAGGAGAAGAATTTAGGATTTGGGAGATACGTAGAACTATTCTTTGATTATTTCTTGATTAATTCCTTAACTGAACGATAAAGTATATTATATAGACTCTGACTCAAAACCCTAATCGACCTAACATAACAAAATACTAAGCTACCCCTTAACACTAATCATGCCCTCAGCACGTATCATCATTCGGTAGTGATCAACTACCACGGAACTTATCACCGTCCGGTAGGGATCCATCTAGCTAGTGGCTAGCTAAGCGAGGTTACATATCCTTATTTGTGACGTTCTCTTACTCTTATCACCATAACTTATTAAGCGGTGAAGTATTTAAAACACTCATTCTTAAATGTCGTACGAACATAAACTTAAATGCTTAAATGTTGATATTGAAATGCTCAAACAATAACTCAAGTCGAAGAATGCATAATCAACACAATCATATATCAAGCAGTGCAAATACACTTCACGTAAAGCAAATACTTAAAACATGTAAGGCGTAGAATTTACCCTCTTTACACTCACCTCTCAAGTTCCGATACTTTAATTCGGTGGACGCGGAGTCCCTTAACTTGATCGCTTCATTAATGCTATAATTCGAGTTTAATTACCCTTAGTCGGTATTCCATAAAAAAATTTGTCCTCCTAGTTTAGTCCCAAAATTCTTTAAAAATGGTCCTGAACCTCTTTATAATATTTTCTCAAAAATTCAAAATTTTCCAAATTTTCTAAGACTTGAATTATTACTATCAACTCAAAATCCCCTAAATAAATCTCATTCATTTCTAAAAAAATATTTTCCCTTAAAAACTCCAAATTCGACTTGGAATAACTCAAATAATAATGACAAATATTTACTATAATTTACATCTTTCTATTTAATTTTCTCAAAAAACGAATTTTAGAAATATATTTGTAACATCTGAATTTCTGTTTCTAAATTTTATAACTTACTGTCAGTATTATAGTTTTGCACAAAATTAACAAATTTATAAAATACACGAACAATAATTTAATCAATTAAAACAAACATCTAATCAATTCTTAAAATTGACAACACGAATCAAAAATCATCAAATAACTTAAAGAAAAACATACTAGTAACTCATGTCTGTTAAATTTATCAACTGTGCTAAAATTGCTTGCACAGTAATTTATTTATTTAAAATCGCCTTTTTAAATATTTTAAAAATTATGAAAACAAATCCAACAATTCTCATATTAATCCCCACACATCCTATTGATTTTATACTATTTATAAATTACCACACTACGAAAATGTATACGGTAAAGAAACTAAAATAATAATAATCTTGATAAAATACTATTTTTGTTTCATTGTCAGTTTTCAAAACAGTAGGGACTAAACTGCTAGAACTGATAATATGGGTACTAATGTGCATATTTTCTCGCAGACTGAAACAGAATTACCGTCACAGTACTTATACTTTAAAAGTTTATGGTATTAGTACCTGAACTGTCATATTCGCACCCCCAACTCTCGAGACTCGTATCTCCCTCATTCTGACATCGAAATTGGATTCCGTCGAGACCGGGATGCTCTTGAGATCGTTCTCTACGCAATGATGCCAAGGTTTTTGTTTCCTCGGGAAAACCAAATGCCACCGCCGGTGCCGAATTCGTTTCCGGCGATGTTGATTCGATGTTTCGCGGTGCCGTTTGATCGAATGCACCGCTGATTGCTGAAATCGAGACGATCGTCAAATATCCGCCACCGAATGTCGACGCCGTTGATTTGATCGATGCACCTCTAAAAGATGAAATCAACGTGACCGTCAAATATCCACCGCCGGGCGGTGTTGATTTGATCGATGCACCTCTGACTTCTAACCAAGAACGACCGTTACTACGGTTCGCACCTCTCCAAACTACGTTCGAACGAGGGTGTTTGAGTTTTGAGGAATCTACTCTACCGCTACTCCTATGGAGATTCCTGTGGAGAGCTCCGCGACTACGACTAAGACTACAACTATGGAGATCCTTCCTGGAAGGAGAGCTCCGCGAAGGAGTTACCGAGAAAAGGTAAAGTTTGAACAGAGTTGATCTGTGTTGATTTTTGGTTGTCCTTCTCTCTCCTTGCTCCGCTGCTTTTATTTGAAAAGCATCTTCGTACTCTTTACGCTCCGTGAAACCGCTTCCTCAACTGCTCAGTTGTTAACTCCCACGTGTCTCAACCGCTTCGTTCCTCAATCTGCTTCGCGTGAACTTTACGTGAGTTGTTTTCATGATCCCACGATGTCGTTTCCTTTCCCAAACAGCTTCGTTTGCTTTTCCTTTTGCGACATTGTTTTTTATTAAACACTGTCGTTTGCTAATACAGCGGTACCGTTGGGCTTGCTCGCGGTACCGTCTTTAATACTACGACACCGTTTTAACTCTCCGCGGTGCCGTTTTAATTCTTGCGGCATCGTTTTTAAATCCGCGGTACCGTTTTAACTTTCCACGGTGCCGCTTCTTCCCATCCAACAAGGAATAAAAATAATAATTAATTAGAGAAACCTCCTTCTCCAATACCCACGCGCGGCCCTTTTTTCCGGTAAGCGGTGTCGTTCCAGTACCGCGGTACCGTTGAGATTCCTTGCGGTACCGTTTTAGTTCTCCGCGACACCGCTCGATTCCCAACGACACCATTTTTTACCCGCGGTATCGAATTAAATGCCGAGACTAATTAATGCGGCATTTAATCTCGGCCGAATTAATTTTAGGTGTAAACAATGCCCCCACAACTTAGTTTATAAGAATTTATGAACTAAGTTGTTGACACAATTTAAATCACCTAAAATAATTTTATTCAACCACAAACCCACCAAAATTTGCAGAAAACTTCAGGCCGGATTTGTTCTCATCAATTATGCACCATTAGTGCTTTGGTCGTATATTCCCTTTTGGACAAGGAAATTGCCACTCTGCCATGAACAAATCCCATCCAATTTTTATTTGTCAAATCCGACGTGCAGCCATGCATTAGCCGCACAATGGCTCTTACTCCAGCCCTGCTGAGAAGCTTGCAGCGTTGCTTAGGCAGAACGACAACGTTGAAGTTTGTTTTTTTTATATTAGAGCCCTCCATCAGCGTTGCAACTAAATTTTTTTTCTTCAAGGCTGTTAGCGGGCAGCGCTGAGAACCTTTTATTTTATTTTTCATTTTATTTTTTTGTTTTTCCCTCCACCAGCGCTGCCTCTATTAATTTTTTTTTCTCATGGCTGTTGGAAACAGCGGCATGGCAGAGCTGAGAACCCTTTAAATTTTTTTTTTTATATTATTATCCGAGCTGTTGCTGTAACACCCTTGCTCGGCCGAGCACTAAATTTACCAAAATGCCCTTAAGTAATCAAGATAACTCAAAATGGAAATAATACAGAAAAATAATATTTAAATCACCGTAGGAAAATCCCTCTTAACAAATCATAAATGAGCATTAGTCTCAAGCCTACTAATAAAAGTACAAAAGTGAAAGAGTTCACTTGGAATCTTTTGCAATCACTAACCCTTGTGACGATGACATCCTGAGCAACAGCTTCCTCTTGACCAGTGATCTGAATGCTCCTGCTTTCTTGTACCTCCTGAGTGCGGGCGATGGGGTCAGTCCTAATCCTAATTTCGTTATCATATGTAAACAAACAGCTATGCACATGCAATGTTTTAGGTACATTAGTGGAAGTTATCGAGCTTACAGTTCTTGTTTACTTTATAAGTGTCTTGCATATTTTATTCTTAAGATTGGGCCCTTCCTCCACCTAGCTAGCGCAACCGCCCGGTAAAACTTGTCATAATATATCCTAACATGACTGCCCTCACAATGGGGAGCATGAACTGATAACCTGCGCCTTTCTAAGGCGAAACACCCGCACTATGGGGATCATGAACGTGTACATTGTGCCTATCTAAGGCAAACACCCACACAATGGGGATCCTGTACCGCGTGCGTAGCTAGCTAAGCAAGGATTAAACTTGCTCTTACTTGTTCGTACTTATTAACTTGATAGTTCTTATGCTTGCTTATCTTGATCACTCCCATCATGGAGAGATGTAACTCATTAATACTTTCTTGCATACTTGAAAAGCTTGGTGATCTCCCGCACAATGGGAAGATACAAGCTTATTAACTTGCACTTAATTAACTTATAATTGAACTTGCATTTGCTTGACTCATAACGTATAGTTTACATATGCTTCATGATGCTATGCATACATAAACGTAAAGACTGAACGTAAACAAGTTAACCTAATATGAAAGCATATAAGGATGGACTGAACTAAAGTAAGAACTGAAATGCATAACATGAACTTAAATGCATATACTGATAACGAAAACTACTCTAGCCCCCTTTAACCACGCACCTTGATAATCAATATGGGTAACTCGAACTAGACTTCGTTGCAGGGTTGACCGCCACGCTTTTCGAATCCTTTTACCCCACCGATACACTAACATGATGAAACTACGTCATCAGAATATTTGACTAATCAAGCTAACGGTGATTACAAGTTAATCGACGTTGATAATTAGTAAGCTAACTTGTCTCTCAACCCATCCTCCATGTTCCATTCTTTTACTACTGCCCACGTCCCCGCCAATACTTGCTTTACCACATGCATGAGACTCCCATGCATAACATCTCCATCACGTATAACCCCAATTGACCCTTCCATAGATCATTCCCCCAAATCCATTTGTTACTTCCACTCGAACGCTAACCGAATTAGACCGAGTGCCACAACTAATTATATCTAGATATATATACAACTATGTCCACCTTCATTTAGTAATTATAATGGGCAACCTCCATTTACGTGATCATTCACCATTCTTAAGCCAAGCCACGACTAATCCATAGTTGGTCCAACCTGTGGCTTTGTAAAGCTAGCAAAATAACCCTCTTTATTGGGATAACCCGCCTGTTTCCGTTGCTATTCTCTAAATCGCTACCCAGCCCAAATAAACACTTAACGTAATCAATATCATCATTGACTAAATTTAAGGAAGCGCGATCATTACCTCTATTATGTGCCTTAGTCTAGATATAGGGATTAAAGGTGCAATCTCCTGTTCGAGCACTCCGAGCCTTGCCTGCGAAACTACAGGACAGGTGATAATGAGCTAGAGCCCCTGTGCACGACGACTCTCGTCTTCCTGTTACTGTCCCGGCCGCCTGCCGTTTTGGTTGTCGGTGACTTGAGAGGGATTCAGGCTGGTTTTTGGTCGAGGAAAAGGGAGGAGGTAGTGGTGATGGGAACTGGGCGGTGGCGGTGGTGTTTGGATCGCGCAAGGCGGAAGAGGGAAGGCGGCGCTATTGCTTGGTTTTATTAGTTTAGGTTTTCGGTCCTTCCTTTTGGCTATTAGGTTTAGTGTATATATATATACATATCCACATGAAGAGATGTAGAGAGGAAAGAGGTGGAATGTACGTGAGGGAGGAGGAATCCCCACCTGTTGCTGCTGCGTTGGGATTGGTTTAGGTTAGCTAGAGCTTAATTAATCATAATAACTAAATAAGGGTAAATTTGGAAATTTGAGAAAATTCTAGGTATCGGGTGTGACAGTTGCTCTCCTCATGCAATTTTTTTTTCTATGCAGGGCTGTTGGACGCAGCGCTGGGAGTTCCCCTCATCAGCGCTGTTTTGGCCGCCTCTACTTTTTTTTTTTTCTTCTTAATTCAGGCCTGTCAAATTTCCGCCAACGCTGAATTTTTTTTTTCCAGGGTTGTTGGGAACAGCCGCAGGGTTGGGAGTCTCTCTTTTTTTAAAAAATTTTTTTATATATTTCCGCCAGGGCTCTTGGGAAACAGCGGCAGAGCTGAAAAAAAAAATTTCTTTTTAATATTTCCGCCAGAGCCGGCAGATTAAAATTTTTTTTTTATATTTCCGCCAGGGCTGTTGGGAAACCGCGGCAGAGCTAAAAAAAATTTTTTTTCGCGGCTGTGGACGCAGCGGGCAACGCTGCATGATTAGTATTTTTTTTATTCCGCAAGCCATTACCTGCAACACTGCGGCAAGTTCCCAATGCGGCTTGGACTTCTTTTATATATATATATATATATTGATGGCAGCAGAGTTGCAACCAACAAATCAATGTTGCGGTAAAATTTGCTTTGGTCAATATTCTCCGTAATAATACCACAACATGGAATGAAAAAGGAACAACGTTGTTGCAAGTTACAACAACTCTGCAACCCCTCCAAACCTATGTTGTCTTGCTCTTTCTTTATTTTTTAATTAATCGTGGCCATTTTTTTTAATATAAAATAAAATTTAGGCCAACATCCTGCACCATTGTTTTTCCGAAACAGTGGTGTTTTGTTTACTGCCTTGCAAACTTGCGGCAAAGAGAAAATTTGATTATTGTTATTGCTTTTACTTCTCACTCTCAGCGTTGCCGTTTTGTGGCATTTATTTATTTTTTACTTTTTGTTTCCACGGCATTGTATATCCCTTCATCACTGTTGAGAAAAGAGAAAACTACACCGTTTGCCATCTTGGACTATTGACAACACCGGCTTCTTCTTAACAATGTCGCTGGATTATTATTTTTTATAATATTTTTCTTTTTTACTCTTTTTTTTTAAATATATCACGTGGCCTAACTTGGCCATATTTTATTTATTTTAATAATAGCTAAACAAAAACGGGATTGGCATTGGAAACCATCATGCCAGAAGTCCAAACCCACTGCCAACTCCACATATCAAACCAAACAAGCCATCCATAAATTCCCTGACTCGTTGATTTTGATATTTTGGAACCAATGTTGGCTTGCAAATCCCCAGTTCGTCTAGCTCGAACATCTTTGTTCGAAACTCCACGATCTTGATTTGGCCTAATCTTAGCTTGGCGGAATGGAAAACCATAAGCATTCTTGACTCTAGACAGGCCATTCCCGTTTTTTTGCACCTTTGTCTTGCCAATTCGACCATGAGACATCGCATGCCTAGACTGGTCTAGTTTTGTCAGCTTCGCACTCTCACCATGTTGTTGGTAGTATGAACGCTGAGACTTTTCATCAACCGGTACATTGGTATTTTGCTTAGCACGAACATAACTTTTGCACCTATCACACCACAACGTTGCCCCTTTTAAAATTCCACGTGAGTTTGGAGTTTGTTTGGCATTGGCCTTGCCCCCCAGACCACCAGTCATGGATTTGTTCCCAGCCAGCACTGGTGTGGCAACCCCATGTCGGGTTTGATCGAACTTGCCCCCCTCTCTACTCAGTGGAGGTTTTGGGGACAATTTACATAAGAGGATTCTGTTGATTCATGCCAACTGTGGTGGCATTGGATTTTTTCACGTGGCTACCACCCCCACACTGCAAAGTTTTTGCTGCCATCCTTGTTTGAATTTTCCTAGAATAGGACAGATTTGGCAAACTTATTTGCCACTTGCGATGTTGTTTTTCCATCAACCGACCATGCGATGGGATCTCATGCCCCCATAGCGGCTTAGATTGAACACCATTGCGATGTTGCTTGGACAACCCATCATACGTGAGCTTGCTATGCTCGACGTGATTGTAACCAGGTTCTCGACCCTGGTTCTTGTTTTCAATCTTACTAGAAGTAAATCGATACTGACTTCTTTGTAGTGGCTTCTGCAAGCCACTTCCAATTGGTGTGTCCTTTAGAACAACGTTGTTCACATGAAAGAACACATTGGATTCACTCACTTCTGGCAACAATGTTGTAGCCATTGATGATGGAATTTGGTTGACATTAGCTATTCGACCAACCATCACATCCTCACACACAACAGACATGGTTCGAGATTTAAACACATCAAAATCATACGTGGCTCCAAGTTTTGACATATTAAAATCAGAAACAGAGTCGTCCAACTTATCAAACCATTTATCTATGTTTTTTTCAAGATTATCCATTTTTTTGTCAAGAGAAGTTAAAATGAGATTTACCTGTTGGCTATCTCTGCTGAGTTTAGCCACTACTTGGCGGAGCATGCGCTGCATCTCACCCTGATCGGCGATTTGCTCCACTGATTGCACCTCCGCTCCAACATTGTTGCTTGAATCGCCTACAACGTCGTCAATCTCGATGTTGACCATCTGATCCTCCTCCATGGATCCTTGTGGAAGACCACCATCTTCTTTTCCTCGTCGCAGAGCCATATCAAACACACGTGTCCCACCAGGTGTGCCAAATTGTTTCCTCGGGAAAACCAAATGCCACCGCCGGTGCCGAATTCGTTTCCGGCGATGTTGATTCGATGTTTCGCGGTGTCGTTTGATCGAATGCACCGCTGATTGCTGAAATCGAGACGATCGTCAAATATCCGCCGCCGAATGTCGACGCCGTTGATTTGATCGATGCACCTCTAAAAGATGAAATCAACGTGACCGTCAAATATCCATCGCCGGGCGGTGTTGATTTGATCGATGCACCTCTGACTTCTAAGCAAGAACGACCGTTACTACGGTTCGCACCTCTCCAAACTACGTTCGAACGAGGGTTTTTGAGTTTTGAGGAATCTACTCTACCGCTACTCCTATGGAGATTCCTGTGGAGAGCTCCGCGACTACGACTAAGACTACAACTATGGAGATCCTTCCTGGAAGGAGAGCTCCGCGAAGGAGTTACCGAGAAAAGTAAAGTTTGAACAGAGTTGATCTGTGTTGATTTTTGGTTGTCCTTCTCTCTCCTTGCTCCGCTGCTTTTATTTGAAAAGCATCTCCGTACTCTTTACGCTCCGTGAAACCGCTTCCTCAACTGCTCCGTTGTGAACTCCCACGTGTCTCAACCGCTTCGTTCCTCAAACTGCTTCGCGTGAACTTTACGTGAGTTGTTTTCATGATCCCACGATGTCGTTTCCTTTCCCAAACAGCTTCGTTTGCTTTTCCTTTTGCGACATTGTTTTTTATTAAACACTGTCGTTTGCTAATACAGCGGTACCGTTGGGCTTGCTCGCGGTACCGTCTTTAATACTACGACACCGTTTTAACTCTCCGCGGTGCCGTTTTAATTCTTGCGGCATCGTTTTTAAATCCGCGGCACCGTTTTAACTTTCCACGGTGCCGCTTCTTCCCATCCAACAAGGAATAAAAATAATAATTAATTAGAGAAACCTCCTTCTCCAATACCCACGCGCGGCCCATTTTTCCGGTAAGCGGTGTCGTTCCAGTACCGCGGTACCGTTGAGATTCCTTGCGGTACCGTTTTAGTTCTCCGCGACACCGCTCGATTCCCAACGACACCATTTTTTACCCGCGGTATCGAATTAAATGCCGAGACTAATTAATGCGGCATTTAATCCCGGCCGAATTAATTTTAGGTGTAAACAGTTTTGAAGCTTTGTTGAGATTGACTACGCCGGGGCTGCCGTCGATGCTACGTTCACCACATGGTTCATCGGGTTAATTGGGGATTAAACGTGCTCAAGAAGGACTGAGATCGAGGTTCTTACCTATCGGGCCTCCGAGAAGGGATGGCTGGGTGCTTTCGTCGAGAGACCGTAAATCGTTCAAAGCTTGACGTCACTCGGAACTCGCGTTGAAGGGAGCGGCTCTGGTGTTGTCGTTTGGCTTCCGCTGGGATGCGCGTGGAGATGAAAACGGACGCCGCTCGTTTGTCTCGCTGGAAAGGGCTGGGAGTAGAGGTGGCAAATGGATTGGATTGGTGGATTGGATTGGTGGATCCATGGATTAAGTGGATTGGATCTAATGGATTGGATCAAGTGGATTGGTGGATTATTCATGAATCCAAATGACATCCTCAACCAAGGACCAATATGTAAAATGTAAAAAGTTTAGGTACTAAAATGTCACAATAAAAAATTTTAGGTACCAAAACGTAATTTTCCAATGATATTTTTCGTATAAAAAATTAAATTTTAGGTACCAAAATGTAAAAAATAAAATTATAGGTACTAAACCGTAATTTGCCAATGATCCATGGATCCAATCCATGAATCCACCAATCCAATTGGATTTGGATCAAATGGATTGGATTTAAATGGATTGGATTAGGTGGATATTTTTAATGGATTGATGGATTGGATTGAAATTGCCACCTCTAGTTGGGAGGGAGGTTTGGTTTTTTTTTTTTTTTTGTTCTTTCTTGATTTTCAATTAAAGGAATGCTGCTGGGGTTTTAT